CAGCGCACGTAGAGCGGTATGTTTTAGTCGAAAGGTGGTCAATCCACCATCCAACGTCCTTCCTCAGGAAACCTGAGGAGGTGCTGCCCTGCTGCATCTGCCATGTGCACGCCGTGCACGCACTCCAGGCCGCGCCTCCACTCACAGAAATGGCTCCCGAAGAGGAGGAGGTGGAGGAGAGCTGTGCATCCTGGAGGGTAAATGAAGAATTCAGAGCTGTGCTGGAAATGCAGCTATGACCTTGCTGCTGAAGCTCTGTGGAGGAGGACGTGGGCATCAATGGCACCTTGCTGGCAACAAGCGGACCACGGCGAACAATTTTGCGCACATGTAATAAAGCAGGTTTCTGATTTTTAAAACATGTCTAGCGTAGTGCAGGTGGTGAGGCGCATACTATCTTCCAGGCGCCAGCATTAGACACATCAAAAGGCAAAGTGACCTGAATGTGCCAGAGGGCTGGCTTGTAAGACGGTAAGACGCCTTGGCTTGCGACAGCAGGGCGACGTTTCTCTGGAAGATCAGCGACGAATTGAGGAGACCAGCATGTGGAGAAGTGGTGATCTGGAAGGGAGCAGGTTTGTTTAGCGAGGTTTAGCGTGCCTTGGAACGCCGGCCTTGATCAATTTCTTTGTTGGTCAAAATGCTGGGGGAATTAGACCATTCAGCTATTCAGTGCCTGCTTGTACCTGCCAGTCTTGCAAAGGATTGGACTTCAGCACGCACACTAAGAAGATTTCAGGTGGCTAATTTCCTGCATGTAGGCCTTACACAGCCCTCATATACCCCCAGGCTCCCCATCTCATAGAAGCCTTATGAAGGGTACCCACCTGGTAACTCGCCAATTGAATCTTCCCTCAAAACACTTCCTACAAACTCGACAAGCCTAGTGTTGTGAAGCCCGCAGTAGGACAGACTGGTTCGAAAGAATCCTTTCGCCAGACTTTCCTGCAGGAGTTTAGCTTGTATGATCCACGGGACGGGACGCTTCGCATGCTGCCCAGCCTGTGGTGATGATTTTAAGTGCAGCCCGTTCCACACAGCTCAGCAACATGCCTACCAACAGGCAACCTGACCTTTGACGATCAGGCGGGGATTCGCACACTCTGGCAAGAAGAGTGAGCTCGCTCTTTAAGTATTGCATTAGGTGGGCGAGTGCTGACTCCTTCCTTTAAAGAGATAAAGGCGCTTCGGATGCTGTTCAAAGTGTTCCAGCTGTGCAGGTGGAACGCAGGAAGAAGCTGACAGCAGAGTGGGCCAAGATCGTGCAGCCGGGCCTAGCAAATCTTCCATTCCATTCGTTCCAGTTCTGGCGAGTACTGGTATGGCAGACTAATTATGGTACATGTGGGTCCAAACACGAGCTCGGCAGGAAAAGGCTGTGAGGGAACAATAGCAAACAAGATTTCGTCTGAAGCTGATTGGGAACAAACGACTCATCAAAGTTGTTGCTTCATCCTTTTATGCATCTGTTCTGTCTAGGTGTCTTGCGGAACAGAACCACGGGCAACAACTGCATGCAGGACACAGTCAGCGGAAGCCCATCCAAATCTGATCTCGCCTTGCGCATCTAGAGAAGGAAGCCACAGCGCAGGATGGGGGCATGCATCCTCGCAACTAGGAAAATGCTGGAAGGCATACCAATCTCAGTTGAACGCTTGGGCCGTTTTTTAGATTTTACTTTCAATCATTTTAGAGGTTGGCTCCTAATTAATTCCTTCTGATCTTGGCTTTCAATTATTCCGGAGGGTAGCTGTCACTTGCTTCGGGTTTTCACCTTCAATCATTAGTTTCCGATAGGCCACGTAGTTAAAATATCACTCGTAGCATCTTTCGAGCCTGACCTAGCGTTTCCCGGAGCAGAGGCTTTAAAACCAGAAGGCCCTCGAGGCCATAGACACCCGCTTTTTTTGTGTTGCTGTTGAGCCTTGACCATGTCGTAACAGAAACAGGGTTTAATATTCGGTGGAATTGCTGCCGGGGGTTCTAGAAGGTGTACACAGCACAACATTTGCCCAGGCAAGAGGAGAAGGCCAGAGTTCCATTCATTGCTCGGCTTCTTGGGGGGCGGGCACGCAGAATGTAGACATACATATACCTATATGTATATATATATATAGTATTCATCTCATTCGTGGATTCTGTCAGTTAATGTGCGGATCGCTGGAAAACAGGCGCTGTGTTCGATTGAACAATGATTCCATGGAATGGAGGGACAATATTTCGCTGCGCGCGTCAATCCTGGATAGTTCCCTGCAGGCTGAAATGAGGAAAAATCCTCGCAAGGCATTTGCTGTCCATGCCCCAAACCTGGAGGACTTTGCGCACGTGCAATAATTTCAGACTTGCCTTCAGGGCGAAATTGTAAGGCTTCACTTTGGGCTCCGTATCTTGCAATGATTAATAGAAGCCTCCGAATCACGGTCACTCAGGGCAACGGGTCAAGGCAAGAAAGAATCAATCGGTTCTGCATTACGCAGGCCGAACGCCTTGGCCTGGTTGGAGATATTCGAAGTGTCAGGGCCTGTTAGGGCGTTGGGAAAGAAGGTTGTAACCTCTGATGTGAGGAGTTGGGGCTTTATGTGCAAATCTTTACCTCCATTCTTTGATAAGCTTTGCACTCTACCACCTAGAGTTTTTCCTGGACTGCAGAATGTGCTTCTGACGTTGAATTCATGAGTCCAGGGCCCACCGTAGGGCTTCAAATCCAGGAAAGAAGTCTGCGATGCTGTGCGCGTCTTACAATGTACCTCGAACCCCGACTTCAGAGCTGCTCCTGGACATGCCAGGAAGGTTGGTGCAGGCAGAATGCCGCAGACATGAGCTTTTCATGCCTGGTCGCGGAGCGACGCAGGTTGACAAAGCTTCACGTTCAACAAGTTTTCATGCTTTTCGAGATATACCATATGCGCTGAGCATGCTTGGCGCTGATATTGCACAGAACGGATGCGAGCTGCTAGCTCTTGATGCTTAGTGTCATGGAAGTCCATTCATACGGAGCAGCAAGAGAGGTCACCTAGCCCCGTGTTGCATGAATGCCGTGCCGAAATGCCAGCAATGTCTTCTTTCACTGGTGAATACTCAAAAAAATGGTGTTGGATTCCAAGTTTCCAGGATGGTCGCGTTGTTGTCGCAAGATCATTTTGCAGGATGCCTTCTACCTCATCGCAGCCACATACGACTTGGATGGCAATGGTCTGTTGCCTGGCTGATAACTTCTGATACAATCTGATCTGAGGCAAAACATTCGCTTTGGCTAGGCGTCTTGGGGGTTTGGGGTCAAGAATGGTCAAGACATGGTGGTGACCAAAAGAAGGTTCCTCGAACAGAGCCGAAGCTCTTGCCACGATCGTAGCACTGAAGCGGTTCTGAGCCAGCTCGCCTCATAATTGCTGCATAATGCAGGCATGGCTATAGTAATTTCGATGTTCTTTGATGTTTGCATTTGCAACAGTCGTTAATCCCCCCCCCCCCTGCAGGCCATTTTAGAATTGTCGAGTCCCCAAAGCTTGAAAGTGGACTCACGATACAGGTCCTGAGAGTCACTTTTTCCAGGACTTCCTTCGTCACCCCAAAGCCCGGCAACCTGTCTCAGGTTTTGAGCGCCAAGAGCTTGAAAAATGGGACTCCCCGACTAGGCCCCTATGACTCAGACACCCTTTTGTTGAGCTCTAATCTTAAAACTGCCTGTGCGAGAGCGTCACTGCTCTTAGGTTTTTGGAGCCTCCACCAAAGCCCGTTGGAGTCAGCTTTTTTGAGTGAGTCTCCGTTTTGAGTGTTTTCGAGCCCCAAAATCATGGAAATAGGACTGCCCCCACCCCCCTCCCGGCCCCCAGGAATCATCGTGAGCTACTGCTACTGCCACTGCTAGTATATTTTTCTAACAAAAATCCTACTACTACTGATACTATGACGACGACGAGTTGAGGGGTAGGACAGGGACGACAACGCCGACGACGACATCATGCTACTACTCCCACTCCTACTCCTCCTATTACGATTACTACTACTACTGCTGCTGCTGCTACTACTACTACTACTACTACTACTAGGTAACGGTCGCGTTTATGACGGTGTAATTTTCTCCACTTCACGGTAGTGAAACTGAGGTTTCGCGCGATTTCTGAATAAAGTCCAACTCCGTCTTTTCTGCTCGATCCACTTGCTTACTATTTTTGGTATGAGTTGTTTGTGCGTTTTATAGTGGATTCGGGCCTATTTTTGACACTTTTCCAGAAACACGCGTTTTTTTTTGCGAGTAGGCTTCCTGGGGGCTTTTTCTCATAATTCATGGCCCCATTTGTCCAAGGATCGTTGCATCAGTCCAGGGTACGCCCCATTAGTCCAAGGGTGCGGGGAGTTCGGATTGAATTTTATCATCGCACCATTAGTCCAGGGTATGCCCTATTTAGTCCAAGGGTGTGAAGAGTTCTGATTCAATTTTATCATCGCCCTCTAGTCCAGGCACGTCCTACTAGTCCAAGGGTATGAGGAGTTTGATTTGATTTTACCATCGCCCCATTAGTCCAGGGTACACCCCATCAGTCCAAGGGTGCGAGGAGTTCTGATTTAGTTTTATCATCGCCACATTAGTTCAACGTACGCCCCCGGCTCTTTGGTAGGCAGTGGGGAAGATTTTCCTGCTCGTACTTTTCCTCAGGATTTTTGGCTAGTTTCCTGCAATTTTAGTTGCAGGGTGTGAGGAGTTCTGATTTGAATCTACTTTCTTGTCGTCCTATTGTATTGGTTGTATTTCCAACCAGTGATGAAACAGGAAAATGCATCACAGCTTCTGAATTTTGTTTAAATAAGAAAAGCACAGACAAGACGGAGGCGAACTGAAGCCATCTGAAACTGACGAGTGCTTGTATTCACAGCATTTCGGGGCTTGCAATGCCACAAAACGGTACCGTCACGAATGTACCCGGAGCCTACTACTGCTGCTGCTGCTACTACTACTACTACTACTCCTACTACTACTAGTATTGCTGCTGCTGCTGCTACTGCTACTACTACTACTACTACTACTAGTATTACTTCTACCTCTACTGCTTCTATTTCTATTACTGCTTCTACTTCTATGACTTCTTCTACTTCTATTGCTTCTACTGCTACTCCTACTGCTACTGCTACTGCTCGTCGTCGTAGATCGTCGTAGTGGTCGTGGTCGTGGTCATGGTCGTGGTCGCGATGGTAGTGGTGGTGGGCAACATGTAGGGTCAGGGGCTTATGGGTATTTTTTGGAGATTCGATTTTCATGCTCATAATGGTTTTTAGGGTTTAGGGTTTTGGTGGTTTTTAGGGTTTAGGGTTTTTGGGGTTCAGGGTCTTTAGGGTTTATGGGTTTTAGGGTTTACAGTTTGGGGTTTTAGGGTTCATGGCTTTTAGGGTCTCTAGGGTTTGGGGTCTCTAGGGCTTTCATGGTTTAGGGATTTTAGGCTTTAGGGTTTAGGGTTTGTGGGGTTTAGGGATTTTAGGGTTTTCAGGGCTTAGGGTCTTTTGGGTTTTTTAGGGTTTTAAGGCCTTTGGGGTTTAGGATTTTAGGGGCTTAGGGTCTCCAGGGTTTTTAGGGTTTAGGGTCTTCAGGGTTTAGGGTCTTAAGGGTTTTTAGGGGTTGTGGATTTTACGGCTTTTGGGTTTTAGGTCCTTAGAAGGTATTTTTTAGGGTTTAGGGTTTAGTGATTTTAGGGTCTAGGGTTTGGGGGGTTTTTAGGGTTGAGGGTCTTTGGGGTTTGAGTTTAGGGTTTAGGGGTTTTAGGGTTTAGGGGCTTCAAGGTATTTATTTTTTTTGGATTTTGATGTTTTTAGGGTTTAGGGTCTTTAGGGTTTTTAGGGTTTAGTGTCTAGGGATTTCAGGGTCTGAGGATTTTGGTGTTTTCAGGGTTTTAGGGTTTTCAGGGTTTAGGTTTTTGGGGGTTTAGGGTCTTCAGGTGTTTTAGGGTTTAGTTTTTCTTGTGAAAGTTTAGGGTTTTTAGGTTTTCAATGTTTGGGATCTTAAAGTTTTTAGGGATTAGTCCGTTTAGGGTTTTGGGGTTTAGGTTTAGGGTTTCGTTTTTTTGGGCTTGGGGTTTGTGGGGTTCAGGGGTTGTAGGGTTTTTAACGGTTTAGGGTCCTTGTTTTTTAAAGGGTTTTATGGTTTTTAGGGTTTGGGCTTTGTAGGGTTTAGGGTCTTTAGGGTTTTCTGGGTTTAGGGGTTTTACGGTTTTCGGGTTTAGGGTTTTTAGGGTTTGTTGCTTTTAGGGTTGCATTTTTTTTCAGGTTTTTGGTGGTTTTTAAAGTTTGGTGTCTTTGAGGTTTAGGGTTTTATGTGTGTTTTAGGTTTAGGGGTTGTGGGGTCTAGGGTTTTCAGGTTTTTTTAGTGTTAAGGGTCTTTAGGGTTTAGGGTTTTCAGGTTTTTTAGGGTTTAGCCTCTTCAATCTTTTTGGGGTTTAATTAAGGTCTTTCGGGTTTAGGGTTTGAAGGGTTGGGTCATCAGGGCTTCAGGATTTTTAGGGTTTAGGGTCTTTAGGGCTTTGAGGTTTAGGGTCTTTAGAGTTTAGGGTGTTTAGGGTGTTTAGGGTTTAGGTTTTTTGGTCTTTAGGGTTGAGGGTTTTTACGGTTTCGGGTTTTAGGGTTGAGGGGTTTTAAGGTTTGTAGGGCTTAGGGATTTTGAGGTTTTCAGGGTTTGAGGTGTTTAGGGTTTTTGAGGATAATGGATGTTAGGGTTCAGGGTTTGTGGGGTTTCGGGATTTCATTTTTTTTCTTTGGATTTGTTCATGATAAAAGCAGGGGGCGGGGCGGGGGGAGCGCAGCCCCCCCCCCTCCCCATTTGAGGAATGTGGCACTTCTTGAGGAGTGGCACTTGTTGCCGAGGATTCGCTGGCTATCTGACAAGATACGGGTTCGTGTTTAAAAGCAGCAGGGGGTTTGGGACGGGCGCAGCCCCCCCATTTGCAAGCTATTGAGGAATGTGGCGCTCGTAAAAAGCCACTGCAGAACTGTTTGTTTTCCAAGGCTCGCACTCCGAGAGAAAAATCACAGGATTTCCTGGCTGAAGCACCACAGAGCATTAAACACACTGAGCTTGCGCAGGGATTGCGACAGGAAGCCTTTCACTTGCCCACAAAACTTCCGATCCAGAGAGACGCCTCTGGAGCTGTGAACTTGCGAGCCCGTGGCGCGTCCCCTCTTAACAAAAGACTGAGCGTGCGCAGCGAAAAGTTTCTGTCGTCCAAGCCAGGTAGAAATATGTCAATGCTTACGAGCGCCTTTGATTTTGTTTGCGAGCCTGTGGCACTGCATTTCTTCGTGCGGCCTGGCGCCTGCGCAGCCAAAAGCCTCCGTCGTCCAAGCCAGAGAGATCGGGCCAGCTTCGAAGTGGTTTTCGATCAAACTCGCACCCTGGCCAAAAACGTCAGATTTCCTGGCCGAAGATCCAAAAACACTTCCCCTGCGAAGGGATTGCGACAGCAAGCCTTGCACTTGCCCGCAAAACTTCCGGCAAGAAACAATCCATGCATTTGGGAACATCCGCATTCCTGTCACACGCACACACTGTGCGTGACCCATGACACCAGGAATGCATGTGCGCAACAAAAAGATGAATGCCTTCATCTTGGATGGGGTTGCCGGCGCTGGGACTTTGCAGGGTCCGGGGGGCCAAGGCCGTGGTTCTGGCTTAGAGTGCCGTGAGTCCGGCGGCGTCTGCCGGCAGGTGCAGGAATCCGAGCTAGGAATGCGGGAGAGTCCGGGCTGGGGGTTGGGAAGTCCGGACTCGGAGTCAGGGGCACCCCGCTTCCCAACCCATCAGTCCGGGAGTCCAGGCCAAAGTCCGGGGAGCTGAGGGTTCGACTGGGTACTTCAGAGTCCTCCTTGTTGCCGAAGGCTGACGACACCTGGTCCCTTGCTGTGCGCTGGCGCTTGATTTTTCAGGATGGACAGACATTTTAGGAGTCCCAAACTATGCGAACAGAAATCTGCTGTCCAGACAGCTGTAGCATTGCAGGCCGTTGAACCTATTGAGGGCGCCTGCTATTTGAAGGTAGCAAAGTCTTGTAGTTTGGTCAGCTTGTGCAGGTTGGATGACTACGAGGTTTTGATCATCCTCGAGCGCTGCAAGTTGCTTGATTCGTTCTCCGTCTTCATATAGCACATGTGAGGCAAGCTTGACATGCGCCACCTGTACAGCCACGCCGTGCAGTGTTCGGATTTTGCTTGCTTCAGACATGAGTGGAGCTGAGGACGCTGACTGCGACCAAAGTGAAGTCTTTCTTCAGAACCTGGGCTGTAGGCCCAGAGCTTCCAAGTACAGTTTGAGACCCAGACATGGTTTGCTTCCCGTTGGAAGGCTGCAACAAGATCATCGGTGAGAATATGGGTGTGGAGGATATTGCTGCTCAGCTTGTAAAAGGCTCTGGCAGTCTTCATTTACTTGCTCCCGTGGATGCCCCACTTGCTTTTGTCAGGAAGATGGCATTGGATATGAGGAGCTGCCCAGCCGCAAGCGTGAACCGAAATGGGCCATGGGCCATGGGTGCATTAAGGCACAAGCTGCTGTTCGGGCTCCAGGGAGTGAACAACAAGCATCAAGAAGCTAAGCGTGAACTGTGTCGTACCACTTTAAGTTAAAGATTCTCCACATCAAGAAAATGAAGCCACTTCCCCTACGCACAGGGAACAGACAATGTACCGCACAGCCTATCTGCAGTCCAAAGTTGCTCTGCAATCTCGGAATTGCTGTTTCTCCACAATCGGAAGGGCAGCCAGTTGCCGGCAGGATTTCCAAATGAAGGTAGTCTGTTTGCGACGCCGAACCATGACACTTGCATAACTCTGACTTGACTGGCCTCGTTGGAACCTGGAAACAAGCAGCTGAGATTCACTCGGGAAAAGGGCCCTGCTCAAGCATTTCCAAGACAGGAGCGGTCTCGTTCAGCCACGGGCCTCATGGCTTTAACCTTCTGTTAGACTTAGATGGGCTGCACCTCATCCACCTCATGAGTGCAGGGACTGGTCCTGGTAGCTTAAGGCCTCATTTTCATCGCGGGGTTGCCATTCCTGCCTCTGACTCTAGACAACCGTATCCCTTGGCATCCAAATCCTGTGCTGTGCACTTAGGTTTACGTCTTTGCTGCACTGGATTGCAGACATGAAGGCTGGGGAGATGTGGAGCCCTTCCCAGGTTTCTGTCAGAAGGTCCTCCTGCCGTGCAACTTGCAAATTGGCGGAGCAGGTGCGACATGATGCGACAAAGATATGACTTTTCCACCTTGCCCAGGGCATTCCGCTTGCCCGTTGTCGAGCCCGAGTGATCCGCCTGTCGCACAAGATCCTTGTCGTGACAGCCGATGCAATGTTGCTTTCGGCCGCAGTTCAAGCGAACCGAGGATGGTCGACACACACAGCTCAGTGAAACGTAGGCAGTGGCACTGTGCAGCTTTGAGCATTCACACGGGAGTTCTGCTCTTGCAGCGTGGTAGTCGTGGAGGGCTCAGGCTTCTGCTCTCCAAAGCTCGCATGACTTGCACAGGCTGTCTCGTCTTTTCGATGGGTTCTTCGCCTGCAATTTGGGCTTTGGTCTCCCTTGATGTGATGCCTGCCAAAATTCCATTCGACATTCGTGGATGGTGGGCGGTCAGGTTCTGCAAGAGAGAGCCAGAGTGGATGAGCGCGTGGCTCTCCAGAAGTGAGTGCCCTCATGACCACAGGCTACTATGTAATCTTGCCAGCACAGATCGGGCGCGATCCTGCATGATCTGAAACCCCCTTGCATAGCTGCACAATACTGAGGCACGAGTTCACCAATCTGTGCCATGCAGCTTGGATCTGGAGACCGTGAAGCAACCAGCTAGATCTTCACCTTGACAAGTGCTGACAACTGAGACGACAGACCTCTACAAGCAGGGAGTTTTTTCTGCGGGAGATGCTTTCAAGGCCGGCAATTGCTGCTTGGGACCTTCAGAGTTTTTGGAATGCAGCACAACCATTATGCCGGGACCGCTTTCCATCTTCATCTGGCGTTGCTTCCTGAGATCTTCTACCAGACGCACGGACTTGAAAACCAGCGCATGGCAGCTCGGCAGCCCATTTCAGTACAGCAGCAAGTGTGGTCGCTTCGTAGTAGTGCGTCGCAAGGGCGGATGCTTGAGAGGCGGGGCTTAAGTTTCAATACTCCTTACCAGAGAAGGACAGCCTTCAGCCAAATGCCAGAACGGTGGCTACTTCAATCGTTCGTCCAATTCCCACCTGTAATCTTGCCAGTGGCAGAGTGCTACAAGGACTTTGCAAGCTTCATGGATGCAATCGCGCGAGTTGGTCAGATGCTTCCTGGCAATCTTAGTATTGGGCTTGTGGCCAACCCATCGAATCCATGCACGGTGTGGCTTGCAATCGTTGTCAGGTTCGGCAAGAATGAAACACAATCTGCTGAGATGTTTGCAGCTGCTGTTGGAGCTTGGTCAGCACTGACGTCACTGCAAAGACGCATCGGAAAGCTAATATCAGGCGACTGAGCATCAGGCCAGGAGTTCCGCAGTATAGCCATTATGCCAAAAACTGCCAACAATATGCTGCCATAGCTGGCACATGATGTAATTTAATTCGTGCTCTTCAATAATAACCTAAGGGCCAATAGGGCCCATTATTCTCGGGCAACCCGATTTCAGAAGGAAAATGTGTATGACGAAGATGAATTCAACTCTAATTCTAGAATTTCAATAGATCAAAACTCATAAGTTAAAAGCTCCTTGAAGCCTAAGTAAAATCTAAGTCCATTCAATTGAAATCTATTTAGATGGAATTAAAGATCTTGCTTAAATCCATTGAAATCTGATTGAACTCTATGTAGAGTCAATTGAAATTGAAACCTAGTGAAACCCCAGGGTTTTGACCTGCAACTGTATGGCAAACATCCCAGATCCTAAAGTCAAATGCAATGTAAACTTATTGAAGAACAAACAGAAACCTTAGTCACATCGAAGTAAAATCTAATGAGACTAAACAATTCTGTTTGAGATGTAATGAAAATCTATTGAAACCTGATTGAAATTAGAGCAAAACATTTAAGTGGAATCTATTCGCATGTAATACAACCTCAGACTGTAGACCTGAAACTGTAAAGCAAACTCAAGTGGAATCTTACTGCGGTGCACGTAAAATATCCTTTCTATGGTTGTTTTTTTCAATGATGCTAGGGGTTTTTCCACAAGTGAAGAGTGACCCTCTCATGCCAGCTGCGCAAGGTGTAGCTCAGGACGCAATGTTCGAGCCATTAGTTCCTAATAAACTTAGTAAGCAAATCAGCCTTCAAAATCAGCTTTGCTTTTCTCATTTTCAGAGCAGCCATGTAATTAATGATCGAATTCAATGCTACTTCAAGTCATTCATAAATCAATCAAAGCCTATTTAGAATTACCACCTTTTGAAACATCCTTTCAATGGTTATTTTTTCTGTCATTCAACCGGGTTTCTATACATGAAGCGCGACCCTCTGATGCCAGCTGCGTAAGGTGTAGCTCAGGAAGCAATGTTCGAGCCTTTAGTTCCTAAACAACTTGAGTGAGCAAATCAGCCTTCAAAATCAGCTTTGCTTTTCTCATTTTCAGAGCAGCCAGGTGAGCGAGTCTCCCTAAACCTTATGCTATACAAGGTAAGCTCCTGGAATTCAGTAAAAAACAAATTAAGATCTGACTTCAAGAAAACTAAATCAAGCAAAGCCTATTCAAAATCCAACAAGAACCCATTTACAGTCCTTCTATTGTCTGCTAGGGTTTGGAGAGAGTTTTCTTTAAATCTGGGGTTTGTTTGGCTAAAATTGCCTCAGCCTTTAAACGTATCTGTGACCCCTAATTTGGCTTTAAGAGATCTTTTAATCCAGGGGGTTTTATCAATCAAGAGCATGGATTAAGCCGCTGCATTGGAGCCCATGCATTCCTGATGCCTCGTCATGCGTTCATGGCTGAGGACGCATGGACACCGATGAGGCTGGTTAGACTGCGTTGAGAAGTTCGCAGGTTTGAGCAGTGCAAGGGCATCGCTTCAGAAGCCCGTGAGGAAACCATTCGACGAATCAAGCTCCGCATTAAGCAAGCAGCTTCCACTTACGGCGTAAATGGCTTCTCGGCTGAACGCGGTGGGACAGTTTGGGTTGCAGTTGGGGTGCAAGATTAGAAGCACATTCCGCAAGACACAGAAAGCCACTGTGCAATGGTGTTTTGCTGGGCATTGCGTTTGCAAGAGTCATAAGTAGTATGCATTCTCACGAGACATGCTGCCTCGTGACCTCGCTTCCATTGGCTTCTACAAAAGCAACGCTTTTCGTCTCCCATTCCGTAGACGTCAGGAAGGCATTTGACAAACCCAGGTTGGCGCGAATTCTTCCACGAGTGCGATCAGGAGACTGCCTCCAATTTTTTCGAGCCTTGCCAACCGCCATGAGTTTGCCGCCGTCAGATCGCATGGTGCGTGAGAATAAGCAAGGGATGTTAGAGTCACACCATCGACAAGCAGCTCAGCTCTTGACAGGATGAGTCCGGCAATATGGACTTTGAAGAGTACCCTGCAAAGCAGTCAAGCATGAACGTTGCGCTAAGAATTCCATCAGGCATTTCGTGAGCTGTCTGGCTATGTTTCCATCCCTTGCATGTTGATGTGCATGTCTGTGTCAGTCAGCACCACAGGGTGTTGCAAGAGTCACGGGTCCGAGTGCTTGGGCCTCTTCGGCGATTAGGCCGCTCAGGTGTCAGCAGGGTTCACTTTGTGAACATGTGCTTAGGGTGCCGCAGGCGAGGTGGTCAAGGCGAAAGGATTGTTCATGTCATCATGAAGGAGATTCCGGCTGCCTATCCGCTTGTAATTAAGGTTCTGGCACATGTGCCGCCACAAGCTGCACCTTGAAGAGCGGGTCTCAGGTTGCTCATGACAATGCCGCTACCGTAGCACTTGAGTTTGAGGGCACGCCCCATGCAGCAGTGAATCAAGATAAGACCCCCAACTGTTCAGGACAGGAAAACCCATTTGCAGCTGCTCTTCGACCGATTGGACGAGGAGTGAGCAGTAGAGTACTGTGCTCACTCAGGAAGCAGCGAAATCTGTTGACAATTCCCACTTTGGAGAAATTGAGCATGTTCTGAACCCAGCGCAGCGGAAGCAAGTATTGATGATCTGCTGTGAAGGATGACTCCGGAGAGCTTTCCATTGACGAAATGATTGCGTTCATTGAGAATTAGATAAGACAGGATTCAAAATTCAGTGCAGCTGGCCAGAGAGACCATCCCGAAGGGAGGTCGGAGCTCACAGCAACAAAGTTGCTGGAAGATATTCAGCCTGACAGAGCAGGCTACTGATTTTTGTGGACGCAGTGGCTGGCTCCCATCCCCTTTCATCACGACTGTAGCTTCCCTCTGCCCAAGACCCAATTTGAGCAGGCATTATGCTCCTGATTCGTTAGTGAGCCCCTTCAAACCTGGTTCCTCGAGACAGGGAGGTTGCATCTGTAGTTGATGGGCGTTCCCCGGGAAGGGGTGCTTATATATAGGTGGAAGTTTTAGACAGCCTAACCACCACCCAGGTCCCTCTGAGACAGCTCGGCAGCGCGGCAGGTGAGACCACATCGAATGACGCGAGCTTCAAAACCAAGTGAAGCACTCTGGAAGAACTGCCTGCAAAGATGCCTTCCGGGACCCTGGGACGTACAAGAGAGCACTGTTGGCCTCATGGCGACAGTGTCTCGGACTTGTGACTAATTCCATGGCCAAGTGTACATGCACAACATGAGGCTCATGGCTGTGTGAGTCAGCAGAGACCATGCCAAGCCAACACCAGTGGGGCTGATACCCACGCATTGATGCCATGCGACCACTGAGGCGGGCAGTACATCAGGCCTGCCATGTCGTGCATGCATCCTTAGGACCCAAGCGGAGCAAACAAAACAAGGAAAGCAAATGCCCCCAGATGCAAATGCGATGCACGCAATCAGGGAACCATTGCAGGCAGGTGGCACCCTTCTCTGCAATAGAAACAGCTCGAGCCGTCATGCTTAGCAAGGGGGAGAGAGACCGGGGCCGAGGGAGGGAGAAAGATAGAGAGAGAGAGAGAGCACGCGAGCGAGCTCAACACAAACCTCGCCAACTTCCGCCTCTGAAGTTCTCAGAGCGAATAAAGAGCAGGGGCTTCAAGCAATCGTTAGGCTCTGCAATTGCGTTGGTCAGATTGGAGGGGAGTCAAGCTGCCGTTCCTGGTTGCCAACGACTTCAAAGTTGGCTACGTGTTCTTTGCAGAATTGCAAAGCTCCGAAGATTTCGCAGAGTCTTCGTTCGTAGAATTGTCGCTAAGCTGAAGAAGCGCAGCCCTGAAACTAATTGCCACGCCTTTCAGCTTCAGCCTTAAAGATTGAATTTATTGGGCCGATCTTCAGTTGTGGCGCTGTGGTTTGAGCATTGCCAAGCTATGCTGCAGCTGCATTGACGTCAATTTATTTGTTCATGGCTGGTGACAAGAAACAAGAGCTTGGACCGGAGCAGATGTTGGCATGTTAGGCTTAACACAGCTGGGCTCACACTGAATTGACGCTCCAGAGGATCCGCGTTATCAAGTGAGTGATGCACCGCAGCTTCATCCGGAACGTTTGGAAAGTGCGTTTTTTGAACGTACTGCTGGTGCTGAGGTTAATGGCAAGACGAGCAAGGTGGCTCAGGTGAGGGGATGGTGCATCGATTTTTTTGACTGGTTCTGCGAAGCAGAGATAGAGTAGCAGGTGCTGGAGCGCTCGACCGGTTTTCAAGACAGTCGACTGTCAGGCAGAACGGCGTCTCGAGCCATTGTGTGTGAAAAGTCACAGCGAACATTTCAAGGCCAGAGACATCAGTAAACCTGGCAGGTCTGGAATCCTTGAAGGTCATCATCTTGGCTGATGTCTCAGTCACTCTTTGAGGGCACAGTTTGAGCAACCTTTCTCAAGGACTTGTTTGGAAAGAAAATGCCATGCGGCAAGGCAGTTCATTCGGGCAGTGTTCTCTGCACAGGTCAGCGCTTTGAGAAGGGAGCTGCGACCTTGGTGGATTCAAGTCTGTGGATCAAACACTTAAAAATCAGCCTGACAGCCTTGATGGGCTTTCAAAAAACTTGACAGTCAGTCTGTCTTTTCGCTTCGGCCAGTATTCCGGCATCATGGATGTGGCCAAGGCTAGGCGTAAACCTCGCGGCAGGCAGGGCAAGTAGTGTAGATCACGAATGCAAAAAAGTTCCGCAAGAAGAATAGCAATCAAGTTGCATCTCCGATTGGCCCTGGCTGTGGTCAACCTGTCCATGGTGGATGCAGGTGATGTGCTGCAGTGCGAGACTGTTCATGATTTGGAGACTTTGGTGGAGGTGCACTCCATACTGTGCCTTGCACCTGGCGAATCTGGGACAGAAGGACTTGAGCAGCTTTGTATTATGTGGACAGCCCCTGCCCCTTACGACAGGCGCAAGCGGCTAACGGCAAGTCCTGCTCCAAGCAGAACAGCAGGAATGCAAATTAACTAGCCGACCACGTTCTGATATTGGTGGCTAGATGTGGCTAGAACAAACAGGTGTAGAAGGTGCCTAGGTAGGGCAGTCAGATTCGAGAATGTTATGAACAAAACAAGTGTTCCATGAGAAAGTATTGAACACGTGGTCCATGTGTTGATAGGTATCTGTTTGGAGAGGTGATGCTTACGGCTTGCAGGAAATGCAGCCAGTGTGCAGACATGGAATATCTGCAGAGCATTTCATGTGCAGATATTTGGGAAGGTCTTGCCATGAATACTGATACAATGATGAAGGCCCTTGTGATCGCGCTGGCCCGTTGAGTAAGACGTATCCCATATCTTCCATGCGGAAATACTAAGATTCATCCTGCTGCTCCGGTACAGAAGCATCTTTCAATTCACTTTGCTGCAGAGCTTTCGGCCTTTGAAGTCACGTCCCTCTCGATGCATGTGATTTTGTCACGGAAATCTGAGTTAGTGCCATCCTGTCTCCCTGCTTCTCAGGCAAGATACAACGTCTGACACTGGGGCTGGAGGCAGCAGGGCCTGCTGCCGCACATTATGTTAGCTACAGACTTGAACAGTGTGGCTTTCCCGAAATGGCCGTGACTATACGAGGAGACACAAGGAAATGCCTTCTGCTTTGCAGCTACAGGGAAAGAAGGTTTACCTTCCACTCCTGTCAGGTGTCAGCCTCGCTGAAATGAGTAGGAGCAAAGCCGCCATCAAATTGCGCGATTGCCGTTCTGGGCATGACCTTTGAGATACAGTAGGTACACGCGGCAGCAATCGAAGATAGCCAGGTCAGTGCGAATGGACGCGAGCTGGAATAGGAAGCAACCAGCCTTGTCAAGCGCAGCAGGATCCTACCCAATTTATGCCATTCCAAGATTCTGGAAGGCGGGTATTGCATTCAGCATTTGCCGCTGACAAACCCTGTGGGCTCTGAGGCACCAGTTGGTTGGTTGATCCAGCTTGATGAAGTCCCAGATGAAAAGGCTATGCGTGGACAGCTGAGATGGCAGCGCTCTGCCAGAGCATTGAGGCATGCAACAGAGTGGCTGAGGTGTTGCATGCCGGGCACTGGTTCAGCGCCATGTCAGCTTGCGTGTTGCTCCCTCAGCATACGTTCCAGGAAGCGGCTCTTGCATGAATGAGCTTGGTCACCCTCGCCTCCATCCATTTTGCCCGTGAGTGCTTCGGTAGTGTTACTGCAGTAGACCACCGGCACCAAAAGGCATAGAGGGGCCATAGCGGCAGCCAAAGTATGGCTGCATCCCACACTGTCCCAACTGGAACGGAGGCCGCTCCTTATCGTCTACACGGCGATGAAATCACAGCAAACATGTGCCGCTCCCCAAGAGGGCTGTCGGGTTGTCTGTGGAAGGTGCACGGCAGGCCTAGCGCTGACGCAGGGCCTTGGAATCACGTGCCTTGAGAGGTGCCAATAATCCCGCTGAAATTCAAGATTTCTGGTCGGTTCTGTGAGGGTGCTGTGACAGGCAGGAGGTCCCCTGCAATGCTGCAGAGCTCACAAGTTGATTCCATCCGCAAATGCGCGTCCGAGCTTTTGATCTCCTGGGGAATGGGGCTTGGTGTGGCATGCTTTGCGATGGTGGCAAAATTAGAAACTTGAGTCGGCCAGCGAGGATTTCAGCTACTTTTGGCTTGGAGGGAAGCTGCTGCAGCTTGGCTGCTCCAGGCCTGTCACGTAGATACCAAGGCCAGCCGCAATATCCTGCAAGCCTGATTGGCCGGCCAGCCTACTTTCACGAGTGGAGTGGTAATGTGCGGTAATGTCGCCCCGATTCTAGGATTTCAATCGCTAAAGGATCCAGTGAGTGCATTTCCAGGGTCCAGTGGGCGCTTCGGCAACAACAGTGGAGCGGCGGCCAAAACCCGATCAAGGAGTTTATCAAAGGATTCTCATATCGATGGTGGAGGTTGCAAAAACTTGTGCGCGCGTCAGTGCGCGTCAGCATTTTGCAGGCACACTGTCCGCGATAGCTATCTCGGCTTGGTAAGAAGCCTCTGCACGAAGCTGGCAAGGCGCGCAACAGTAAAAACTGTGTACGCGCATCTGCAAAACCTGTGGTTTTCGCTCATATCTCGCTCACGGTGGCCCGCATTAGTGCAAGAGAACAGTACGAGCTCGCGACAGTAAAACGTATGGTTCCGCGATAGTATTTGACACGAGAACGGAAGATTCAAAGGGTTTTGGCCGCGGCTCAGTTGTGCCCCGCGCTGATACAAAACATGGATTGTGCTGGCTTCAGGGATGAAATGCCCTGGAGTGGAAGCTGTGCCTGCACTTGGGATTCCATCTCCTTCACGTTTAGACGCTTTAGGGTTGAGATGGTAAATTCATTGGAAAGTCAGTTGATTCTGGGAACAGCATAGGACATTCTGGAATAGGCAGTTTGCTATCAAAAAAGGATGGAACAAAAGCCAAGAGGACAAGACGAAGAACACAATAGGATAAGTCAGAACAAACAACAGGCAACAGCAAGAAGGAGGAATACACCGTTTTGCCTGTTTGGTCATGAAGTTCATGCATATTTCATTTTGTCCAATTCTTTGTCCTCAATTTTCAATTTATTTGTTTTGCCTAGGCGGCGGTGGCGGTGGCGGTGGCGGTGGCGGTGGCGGTGGCGGTGGCGGTGACGGTGACGGTGACGGTGGTGGTGGCGGTGGTATCTCTCGTCATGATTTTCTCC